TATAAGTAGGTTTTACATACTTTTTTATTTATTTATTTATTTTTTTTTAAACTAGATATTAAAGTATATAAAAAAGAGTGAATGTGCTAATAAACTAAAAATGAATATGTTGCAAGCCATATATTTTATAATTTAAGGCTGGGATGAAGTTGCTGCTAAAACAATTCATAACTGCTAGTATTATACAAATATCTTTTCTATTGATACTAATGCTGAATTATATAGCTCCATAGATAACATTCATCAGACTATAAATTTAGCACTTAATGATTTTACTAATGTACTTGAAGATCTTCATATTTATCTTGCTAACCCAATGTCAGTTGAAGAATTTTTTTCAATTTCTGCAAAAGATGTTGTTTATGAAATTTTTAAGGATGACCAAGTTATTGAGAAGCTTATAAAAACTTTTAGACCAGTTGATTTAACTTGTGATAATTCAAAAAATAATAATAGTGTTGAAATTCCTTTAATTAGTATCAATATAGCGATTGCAAGCTTAGAGACTGTGTATATGTGTTTGCTTCAACAAGATAAAGCAAACAAGTATATTAAGGCTGCGAAAAAAATTGAAAAATTTCTTTAAAAAAAAAAATAATCAAGCACCAGCAAAGTAAAATTAATGACTATTTTATAAAATAATAGATAAATAGTCATTTTAATGTAAATGGCAGATTATTTTTTTTTCTGTCATAAGCAATTGTAATTTTTTATTTTTTTTTAAATATTTTATAAAAAAAAAAAGTGCAATTTACAGTATCATCTTTTTTAACTTTTTGTATATTGATCTTTCGAAACAACTTTTAATTTTTGAATAGAACTTGAAAGAAATTATTAGATCACTTTGCATAAAGTAAAAAAACAATAAAATAAATAAATAAATCTTTATAAATAAATTTTTTTCACTTATACAGTATCTAGTATGTTAAAATTAGTGAATTAGATTAAATGCATTTGAGTAAATTTAGATTTCTTAGAATTATTAGATTACTTAGTTTATATAATAAAAACCTCTCTTGTTTAATCTACAAGGTAAATATTGGCATTTTGAATAAAGTATAGATTTGAAAAAGAGATGATATAATTTTTACTTTATTATAAATTATATTTTTTATAAAAACTATACAATATATATAAATACAATCTTGAATTTTATTGGCTAAATATTGGCCTTTATCACATGAGTGTACTTACAAAGGAGTGCATATATAAGTTCAGAATTACAAATTTTCTGCACATTTAGCATTAAGTCCCAAGCTTAAGACCAGGCTATAGTATGCATTTAAAGAGAGTATATACTTAGAGAGAGTGAGATATTACTATATGTAATTAGAATTGAATTCATTTGCAATAAAATTATTATAATTTTTATTTGTAGTAGGTAGCAATATATATATATTGCTACCTATTTACATTAGGTTGTTACCTACTTATGAGTATATATTGTTACCTACTTACGAGTATATTGTTACCTACTTGTTTTATA